AAAAAACTGGAAATAGAACTGCCATATGACCCAGCAATACCACTTCTGGGCATACAAACCAAGAAAACCAGATCTGAAAGAGACACGTGTACCCCAATGTTAATCGCAGTACTGTTTATAATAGCCAGGACATGGAAGCAACCTAGATGCCCATCAGCATACGAATGGATAAGAAAGCTGTGGTACATATACACAAGGAATATTACTCAGCCATTAAAAAGAATACATTTGAATCAGTTCTAATTAGATGGATAAAACTGGAGCCCATTATATAGAGTGAAGTAAGCCAGAAAGATAAAGACCAATACAGTATACTAACACATATATATGGAATTTAGAAAGATGGTAACAATAACCCTGTATGCAAGACAGAAAAAGAGACACAGATGTATAGAACAGACTTTTGGACTCTATGGGAGAAGGCAAGGGTGGGATGATCTGAGAGAACAGCATCGAGACATGTATATTATCAAGTGTGAAACAGATCGTCAGTCCAGGTTGGATGCATGAGATAAGTGCTCAGGGTTGGTGCACTGGGATGACCCAGAGGGATGGGATGGGGAGAGAGGTGGGAGGGGGTTTCAGGATGGGGAACACATGCAAATCCATGGCTGATTCATGTCAATGTATGGCAAAAACCACTACGATATTGTAAAGTAATTAGCCTCCAACTAATAAAAATAATTGGGGAAAAAAAATCCTACTAAAACAAGAGACTTGTCAAAGATTGAGAAAATAGACAACACCCCAAAGACACTATTTATTTAAGAAACTGCACTTAGTTATAGCAAATAAAGCAGGTACTTGAATGTGGAAAATAGTATGCAGTCTTCCCCCATGATCCAACAAGATCACCAATTATTGCTAGTCCAGAAAAATCCACACACAAAAAAAAGACAAAAAAAGAAAAAAAGAAAGTGAAGGCACTCAAGAATAAAACACAATAAGAACTAGCCACAAAACAGAAGTAAACTATAAACAATATCTCAACATACATGAAATATATTTAAACATACAATTGCAGATTTGAAAGAACATAACAAACCAGAAATTTAAGAATTCAGAAAAGAAATGAAGAGTAGGAAAATATGAAATAACAGCTAACTGAACTCGGGGGGAAAAAAACTGAAAGAAAAAAAAAAGTCATCTTAGAAATGAAGACAGAATTACAAGCTACCAAAGGGAGAACAGATATGACCAAAAGTATAGTTAACAGAAATAGAGAACGTAAATAAAAAGAACTAAGAAAATGAAATTTAAACAAAGAAGGAAATAAAAGAGGCCAAAGAAAGGTGATAAATATAGAAGACAAAGAAGATATAATATACAAATAACCTAAGTTTCTGAAGATGAAGTACAAAATAATGGAGCAGAAAAAAATATTTAAATCTGTAATTCAAGAAAACTTTCTTAAACTAAAAAGACTCAAATTCACATATTGAAAAGGCCCACAGTACATATATGGCAAAACTGACTGAAAATAGTCAATTCTGAGTAATAAATTAAACTATTAAATGTTAATATAAGGAAAAAAGTATTCTGGTACTCTAGGAAAAGATTAAGTCTCTGGGAAAGTTAAGAAAAGTCAAGCTGATATCAGTTTTCCTTATGGCAGTATGTAAGAGCAAGATAAGTGAGAGGCAAGTATTTTACTTCAAAAATTTTTAAGTGTATAATAGTAGAGAAAACATTACATTGAATCCTATCACTTAGAAAACTACATTGAAAACTACAAAATATTGCTGAGAAAAATTAAAGAAAATCTAAATTGATCAAACAGAACACGTTTCCATGGGCAACAAAATTCAGTATTGCTTAGTCAATTCTTAAATATGACTAAACACTGAATACAATCCTCATCAAAATCCAGGCAGACTTCTGCGGAAGTTAACAAGATAACTTAAAACTCATATTGAAATGCCAAAAACAACCCCAAAACTACAAAATACAAAGTAATTTTGAAAAAGAATAAGAGCATATAACATGATTTTCATACTCATTATAAAGCTACAGTAATCAAGGCTGTGTGGTACTGGCATCAAGACAGACAAACAGACCAGGGGCATAGAAACAGAGTTCTGAAATAGACCCAGTATACATAGATGGTGTATCTTTGACAAAGTACAAAGACAATTCAGTAGAGAAAGGACAGTCTTTTTGTCAAATGATGCTATAAGAATTAGATATCTCAATGCAAAAAAAGAAAAAAAAAGAACAAGAAAAAAAGACCTTGCATCTAAACCTTGCACCACAGCTCAAAATTTCTTCAAAATGGATCACAGATTTAAAGGTAAAACCATAAAACTTCTAGAGAATATCTTTGTGACCTTGGGTTAGGCAAAGATTTCACAGCTACAGCCCCAGAAGCAGGATTCCTAAAACAAAACTAATAAATTAAGACTTGATCAAAATTTAAAATTTCCACTATTCAAAACACAGTGTCAGGAAAATGAAAAGACAAACTACAGACTGGGAGAAAATACTTGCTAAATTCATGTAATCTGATTTTTAAAAACTTACCTAAAAAAATTCTCAAAACAAGAAAACAAATACACTTTTTAAAAATAGGGGAAAATGGTCAAAAAGTGGATATTTTCACCATAGAGTATATATGGATGGAGAATATACAAATGGTAAACATAACTTCTTTGCTAATATATTTTAATGAAAAGATGTTTAATGTCAGTTGTCAGGAGGGAAATATAAAAACCATGAGATACCAGTACACATCTACTAGAATGGTCAAATTAAAAAGATGAACCATAAAATGTTTTTGGAGAGAAGATGAAGAAACTGATACTCTCATATACTACTGGAATGAAAACTGGCAGAACCACTTTAGAAAAGTCTTGTTCGTTTTTTATGAAATAAAACAATACACTTCACAAAAGACCCAGTGATTTCATTATTTGTTATTTACTCAAGAGAAATAAAGATGTATGTCCATGCAAAGGCTAAACCTCCTAAAATATCTTTTAAATCCTTTCATGTCCTGTCACTGTCCTAATTCAAGTCGCCATTATCTTCTATCTAGATGACCACAAAATTTTGCTAACATCTTCGTGACTCCAATCTTATCTTATTTCAATCCATTTTTCATTCAATAATCAGAGGAAGTTTTTCTAAACTACAAATTATGAAATTTTTCTATTCAGACGGTAAAGAATCCACCTGCAATGCTGGGAGAACTGGGTCCAGTCTCCGGGTTGGGAAGATCCCCTGGAGGAGGAGGGCATAGCAACACACTCCAGTATTCTTGCCTAGAGAAGCCCCAAGAACAGAGGAGCACGGCGAGTTACAGTTCATGGGGTCACAAAGAGTTGGAAGGGCTGAGCGACTAAGTAAGGCAAAAGGCTTCAGTGACTATAAAGTCCAAACTTCCTACCATGGATAACAAAACTCAGTCTCTACCTGCCTCTCTGGCTTTCTCTCTCTCCACAGAATTCCTTACACTTAAAGATGTGGCCATACTGAATTTTTTTCAATTACCTTAACACACACTGCTCTATCTTATTTCCAGGTCTTTCCACATACTCTGTCCTTCTACCTGAAATACTTTCCTCTATCCTTAACCAGACTTCTACACATCCTGTGTGACTCACCATCAACATCATTTCATCCAAGACATCTTCCTGACCCTTCCATTAGATCCCCCTCCTAAATGTTCTTACAGTATTCTGCCTATCTCTGGTGACATGTCTTACACCATGCTATAGTTACTTATCTACAAGGTGGATCCTCTTCCTCCACAAAGGCAAGGTTTATACCCTGTCAGCCCAGGGTACACACACAGTTAGTACAGTATGTGTGGCATACTTGGCAAATATTTGTCAAGTAATGACAGATTTTATTGCAGTCTTACTATCAATGTCAATGTCATAATTTAGACATAAGCATACTCCCAAATGATCTTCAGTGCCACGACAGCCCTTTGAAAAATGAAAACTAAGTAAAACTCTTTGTTGCTCTCTAGGATACTTTCTGAACCGCTGCCCTACCGCTTCTTGTTTCTTTTTTCCTCCAGGCCAGACACTAAGTACACTTACATTGTATTCTGGACGTCTGAGGTCTCCTAAACCAACTAGATTTGACTTTCATTTTCTAAGTTTCTTTTCCCTTCTTCCTCTGCTACTAAAGTTACTACTTCTGAAATCAGATTTTCCAATTAAACTAATGCAAAATGTGATGTGAGTGGAATCTCAACCTTCTCACAGGCACTTTAAAAAAATTTAACAGTCTATTATTCAACTTATAATAAGAGCATTACATGTTCATTAAATAAGTTTACTTCATCTCACAGATATAATTACTATTAATATTTAGATATACTTCCTTCCTATTTCCTTCAAATATTGTGCACTTACAATATTTTTTTAAAATTTGTGAGTCTGCTGTTTTACAAGACACTAAAATATAAACACTGTCCATATTATCAAAAGCTTTTTAAAAAACAACTACAATATGGCTTAATTAGGAAGATAAATCATGTTTTATATAATTATTCCCTTGGGGGCATTTTCACAGAGAATCTGGCTTACCCAGACCTCTCTTTAATAAAAACAGGTATAAGGATATTTTTTCAGCAGGAAGCTTCCATGTTCCATTTCAACTCCAGTTACTTCTACTATCATCACCACCACATGTCATTCAAAGCAATCTGCAATCTTTAGTATGCAAACAATAACAATTTACGAAATCAAGGATGTACCACATCTATCACTGCTTTAACTTTTTAATACGGATGTGTCAGAAAGAGACATACAAACAGACATAGACAAACACTCAGGGAGGAAGGAAAGACAGAGGAAGAAAGCAGGAAAGGAAGGAGAAAAAGAATTAGAAGTTATGGATGGCACAACAAAATTAAACATTTGAGACCCTAACTTACTGCTAGGGCATAAAAACTATACCTAAGTACTACTATTCATCTTTCTTTCTATTAAAAATAATTATCACCCCAACTCCTTTTAAAAATACCTTAGAATCACAGTATTTCTTACCAGCGCCAATACATTTAGAAATTCTCGTGTGTCGAAATGCAGCAAAGTCCGAATATAGGGATAGATTTCTTCCTCAGGGGGAGCTTCTGTTGAATGCAGGCGAATTAGAAATTCAAAAACCTGCAAGTTGAAAAAAAGAGTTGATTCTTTTCTCACAAAGTATCTTGCTGAAGCAATGATTCCCATTTGTATAAAAAAACCAGGTTGAATTTAGTTTAAATTGTCACTGGGTTATAACTTCTCTAACCTCTCTCAGCTATAATTACTAGCTGTTGGTGTTGGTGTGCAGGCTTTCTCCTGTCACAGCAGATAGCTCCAGACCCATGTGCAACCCTCAATTACAATTTGTCTTTATTGCATTTTAAGAGAGTAAAAATGTTATGAAAATGCACCAACCTGGTTTTTAACCAAGGGAACAAGATCTTCAGGGATGTCACCCAGGGGATAGGCACGACCTGCTAGACAACAGCTAGAAGAGAAGAAATTGAACGGATCTGGTGACTCTTAATGGGCTAACTTCCTGGGGACACACTGTTCTCAAACACAAGATACTAGTCTGATGTTTAAGCAGGCTCAGCTCTTGTCAGTTAGGTCAGGTCCAAACCCAGATCGAGATGATAGCCAGTTCAGAAAACGTGGGTGACAGAAGGTGGTGGTGAAATAACACAACCTGTGACTAATGACTTTCATTTATTTTTATTTTTCATAAGAAAAACCCAAGTTGCACTAAATGAACAAGAAGGAATAAGGACAGATTACCTAAAAGTCTCACGCCCAGCATCTGGAAAGAATCTGACAGCATCATTATACTGTTAACAGGTAAAAGCCTCAGGTTCGCAGAGACTTTTAAATCCAGTGGTTCTAAGAATGGTGAATAAAGATGGGGAATGAGCTAGGCTAAAAAATATTTGTAATTGGACAAGCCTTTTTGGGAGAATTAGAATCTCATGAGAAATTAACTGTATGGTTTTACCTCCAAACCAGACCTTCCTAATGGCTAATGACTAGCTCTGGGGGGCTGAGTTATAAACTGCCTTCTGAACATGTCCTTATTTTGGGGGCAGGGGGTGGGGAAGAGTAAATTTTAAACCTCTTTGAAGTAGTCATCAATTTTGAATGTTAGAGACAGCTGGATACCAGCATATTCTAAAAAGTTGAAAGTGCAGATGATAAAGAGTAAGGTAAATGCTACTCATGTTCCTCTATACTAAAGAATCCATGTAACAAATTTGAAAGAGGTCTCAAAGTTAACTCTGATGCATACAGAAACTAAAATGATGTGCCAGCAGGTTCTGCCACCTTCCTGCTTGCCTGCCAGCCAGTTATCTATGTAAAAGCTCTATCAGGACACAATTCTGAGCCTGCATAGTCTATCAGAAGAATTCTGATTCAGGAATAAACAGATAAACATTTCTGCTTACTTCAGTCACTAACTTTGTTCATGATGCAAACTAATTTCTTGCCCTTTTACATAAAATATGGACAAAAACATATCCCATAGACTTGGTAGTAAAAGTGAAATATTCTGTATCAAGATTTCTCAACCTCTGCCCTACTGATATTTCGGTATTCTTTGCTGTGGGGACTAACCTGTTCATTGCAGAATGCTAAGCAGCATCCCTGGCCTCTATGCTTTAAATGCCAGTAGCCTCTCTCCCAACACCAGTTGTGACAAAGCAAAATGTCTTTAAACATTGCAAATAAATGGCAGAGGAGAGCAAGGGTGGGGGACAGAATTACTGACTGTTCAGAAGCATGGCTGTACATGAAAGAACACTGAAATATGAAAGCACTATACAAATGAAGAGATGACAGTGCCTCTGAGAATACAGAAGAAGTTTTATAAAAGAAGCATACACACATAAATAAATTTAAAACCTCTTACCTAATATATACAAGAAGCTTGTTGCCCATAACAACTTGCTCATCTAAAATAGAAAAGTATCTTTAGCAATTCTCTCTCAAAAGCTTTTTAGAAATATAATCTTTATGTGGAAACAACTACTACCAAAAAAAAAAACCCTTTGGCATTTAAGGTGCTCTAGGTATATTCCCAAACAATAGGAAAGTGAGATAAGACCACTTTAGTTAATACTTTTTTTTTTTAAGAATTTCTAATAGATTCTTTTCACAGACACAAAATCAGTCAGTCATTCAAGGGTACACATACAATAAAAGGTGTAAACCTTATATAGAGATCTAAGTATTATTGGCTTAACTAATAGCTTGGGCCAAGAGAAGGTGTTGAACAGGCAATGATTTGACAAATTAACTAATTAATATTAAGGTATAATTTCAATGCCTTCTCATTTGCAACATGGACTTTTACTACCTACAATATTCTAAGCTAAAGGTCAGTGTTCACAAATGTTTAAGAAACTTAAGACTAAACACTCTTTATGACCTTTTGTATCCTAAAGTTATGTCTAAGATTCTGTCATATGGTAGTATAAATTTACTTCTTGGTTAAAAGAAACTGGAAACATAATTAGACCAAGTTTTAGGCCAAAAGATCAAAGTTAACAAAGAATAGTATAAGAGCATCAAGAAGGGGTGAAGTGATCAGCAATCCTTATGGTTGGTAGGAATTTATGGTTGGTAACACTGACGAACTGAAATTTTTGACAAGAATACTGGAATAATACAAGCAAGTGTACATCCCTTAATCAATAATCCTTTATAAAGACTCCAAGTCTGTGTTGTTGTACATGCAAATAAACTTGAATTGCTCAAAATTACATGAATAATTACATTCTGCTTCAATTCCAAACATTTTTTCCAATCAATAAACTTTTACTTTTTTTAGAGAAGTTTTAATCATGTTACAGCAAAATTGAGATGGAAGTATAGAGATTTCTTGTATACCCCTCATTCCTACATCACACAACCTCCACCACCACCAACACCCTGCCCCAGTGAGACCTGTCTTGTCATCAATGAACACACACTAGCATATCACCTGAGGACCGCTGGAGTCCACAGTTTACATTAAGGCTCACTCTTGGTGCTGTGCACTCTACAGTGTGTCATTCACTCAGTTGTGTTCAACTCTTGGCGACACCATGGTCTGTCCATGGAATTCTCCAGGCAAGAATACTGGAGTGGATTGCCATTCCCTTCTCCAGGAGACCTTCCTGACTCAGGGAATGAGCCTGGGTCTCCTGAATTGCAGGCAGATTCTTTACCATCTGAGCTACCAGGGAAGCCCTGTACACTCTATGGGTTTTGACAAATGTATAGTAACATATATCCACCATTATAATATCACAGAATAGTTTCACTGCCCTAAAACTCCTCTGCTCTACCTATTTGTCCTTCCATTGCCTTTAACCTCTATGCTGATTCTTTTATTGTCTCCATAGTTTTGCCTTTTGCATCATGTCAGATAATTGGAATCATAAGTCGTCGCCTTTTCAGACTGGCTTCTTTCACTCAGTAATGCATTTAATTTTCCTCCGCATCTTTTCATGGCTTGATAGCTCATTTATTTTTGGTACTTAATGATATTTCATTGTATGAATGTACCAAGTTTATTCACTCATTCACCTACTAAAGAACATCTTGGTTGCTTCCAAGTTCAGGCAGTTATGAAGAGAGCTACTATCCACATTTGTAGTGAGGCTTTGTGGAGATAGATTTTCAATCCCTTTGGGTAAATGAGTGCAGTTGTTGAATCATACAGTAAAAGTATGTTTAGTTTTATAAGCAATTGCCAAACTGTCTTCCACAGTGGCAATACCATTTTGCATTTCCACAAGCAATAAAGGAGGGTTCTTACTGCTCCACATCCTAGTCAGCATTTGGTGGTGTTGCTGTTTCAATTTTAGCCACTCTAATGGGGGCTCAAACTACCACACAATTGCACTCATATCACACGCTAGTAAAGTAATGTTCAAAATTCTCCAAGCCAGGCTTCAGCAATACTGAGAACTGAGAACTTCCAGATGGTCAAGCTGGTTTTAGAAAAGGCAGAGGAACCAGAGATCAAATTGCTAACATCCGCTGGATCATCGAAAAAGCAAGAGCGTTCCAGAAAAACATCTATTTCTGCTTTTTTGACTACGCCAAAGCCTTCGATTGTGTAGATCACAAAAAACTGTGGAAAATTCTCAAAGAGATGGGAATACCAAACCATCTGACCTGTCTCTTGAGAAACCTGTATGCAGGTCAGGAAGCAAGAGTTAGAACTGGACATGGAACAACAGACTGGTTCCAAATAGGAAAAGGAGTATGTCAAGGCAGTATGTTGTCACCCTGCTTATTTAACTTTTATGCAGAGTACATCATGAGAAATGCTGGGCTGGATGAAGCACAAGCTGGAATCAAGATTGCCGGGAGAAATATCAATAACCCCAGATATGCAGATGACACCACCCTTATGGCAGAAAGTGAAGAGGAACTAAACAGCCTCTTGATGAAAGTGAAGGACGAGAGTGAAAAAGTTGGCTTAAAGCTCAGCATTCAGAAAACTAAGATCATGGCATATGGCCCCATCACTTCATGGGAAATAGATGGGGAAATAGCAGAAACAGTGTCAGACTTTATTTTTCTGGGCTCCAAAATCACTGCAGATGGTGATTGCAGCCATGAAATTAAAAGCTGCTTACTCCTTGGAAGGAAAGTTATGACCAACCTGGATAGCATATTTAAAAGCAGAGACATTCCTTTGCCAGCAAAGGTCTGTCTCGTCAAGGCTATGGTTTTTCCAGTGGTCATGTATGGATGTGAGAGTTGGACGCTGAAGAAAGCTGAGTGCTGAAGAATGGATGTTTTTGAATTGTGGTGTAGGAGAAGACTCTTGGACTCAGAGTCCCTTGGACTGCAAGAAGATTCAACCAGTCCATCTTAAAGGAGATCAGTCCTGGGTGTTCACTGGAAGGACTGATGTTGAAACTGAAACTCCAATACTTTGGTCACCTCATGTGAAGAGTTGACTCACTGGAAAAGACCCTGATGCTGGGAAGGATTGGGGGCAGGAGAAGGGGATGACAGAGGATGAGATGGCTGGATGGCATCACCAACTTGATGAGCATGGGTTTGGGTAGACTCCGGGAGTTGGTGATGGACAAGGAGGACTGGCGTGCTGTGATTCACAGGGTCGCAAAGAGTAGGACACGACTGAACTGAATGGGGGTGTGTGCTGGCACCCCATTGCTGTTTTAATCTGTAATTCCCTAATGGTGCTGAACATCTTTCAATATGCTTACTTGCCATCTGTGTATCTTCTTTGAGATGTCTGTTCAAGTCTTTGTTCATTGTTTAATTGGGTTATTCATTTTCTTATTGTCAAGTTTTAAGAGTTATTTATTTATTTTGGATAAGAGTCTTCTGTAAAATATTTTCTCCCAGTCTGGATTACCTCCTCATTCTCTTGTTGTCATTTGCAGAGCAGAAGTTTTTACTTTTAGAGAAGCACAGCTTATCAATTACTTCTTTCATGGATAATAATCTTTCTTTCATGGATAGTGCTGTATCTAAACATTCATTACCATGACTACAGTCAATTAAATTACTGCCTGTGTTGTCTTCTAGATATTTTACAGTTTAAAATTTTCCAATTAGGTCTATGGTCCATTCTGAGTTAATTTTTGTGAAAAGTATAAGGTCTGTATCTAGATTCACTAGATTGAGATTTGCTCCTTGGAAGAAAAGCTATGAAGAACCTAGACAGCATATTAAAAAGCTGCCACTTTGCACGTGGATATCGTTTTTCCAGCACCATTTGTTGAAAAGACTATCTTTACACCAAAAGCTTCTTCAAAGATCAGTCCACTATGTTTATGAGAGTCTATTTCTGAGGTATTTTTTTATTTTTTATCTATTTTTTTATTCTTTTTCCAACACCACATTGTCTTGATTATAGTAGGTTTACATTAAATCTGCAAGTTAGGTAGTGTCAGTCCTCCAACTTTGTTCTTCTCTCTCAATACTGTTTTAGCTATCCTGAGTCTTTTGCTTCTCCATATATATTTCAGAATAAGACTATTAATATCCAAAAAATAACTTGCTGGGATTTTGATTGGGATTGCACTGAACCTGTACACCAATTTGGTACAAAATGACATCATGACAGCATTGAGTCTTCCTATCCATGAACACAGAATATCTCTCCATTTATTGAGTTCTTTGATAACTTTCATCAGAGTTTCGTAGTTGTCCTCATTTACATCTTGTACATACTTTGTCAGATTTATACATAAGGGTACTAATACAAATGGTATTTATACCATGAAATACAATGAAATTAAAAAAGATGCTTACTCCTTGGAAGAAACGTTATGACCAACCTAGACAGCATATTAAAAAGCAGAGACATTACTTTGCCAACAAAGGTCCGTCTGGTCAAGGCTATGGTTTTTCCAGTAGTCATATATGGATATGAGAGTTGGACTATAAGGAAAGCTGAGCGCTGAAGAATTGAGGCCTTTGAACTGTGGTGTTGGAGAAGATTCTTGAGAGTTCCTTGGAATGAAAGGAGATCAAACCAGTCTATCCTAAAGGAAATCAGTCCTGAATATTCATTGGAGGACTGATGCTGAAGCTGAAGCTCCAATACTTTGGCCACCTGATGCGAAGAACTGACTCACTGGAAAACACCGTGATACTGGGAAAGGTTGAAGGCAGGAGAAGGAGACAACAGAAGATGAGATGGTTGGATGGCATCACCGACTTGATGGACATGAGTTTGGGCAAGCTCCGGGAGCTGGTGATGGACAGGGAAGCCTGGCGTGCTGCAGTCCATGGGGATGCAAAAAGTCAGACATGACTGAGTGACTGAACTTAACCGATAAATGGCAGTGTGCTTTTATTTTTGAATTCCACGTGTTCACAGAAGGTATATAGTAAAGTGACTGCCTTTTGTATATTAACTTTGTATCTGCAAACTTGCAACAACTGCTAATCAGTTCCAGGAGTTTTGGGGTCAATT